TCACCACATATTAGCAAGTTATTTCATTGTTATGTTATTGTTCTGAAAAGTTTTCCACAGACACCTTATTTTATCAATTTGTGCTAACATTATTGTTTTTGTTTTCATTTTTTAATTTTGGGTGAAGAAGTGGATCGTTTTCTCAAGCCCTCTAATTTGTGAAGTGATGTTTTATTTTGGTTCTGCAGTGATCTATGTATTGACTATAGCATATACTTTATTTGATAAGGTAAACATATGAAATAGGTACACATGTTTAAATATTCTGAGAAAATAATTTGTATGTGCTAATTTTTTTTGAGAGGTTTTCGCTATAGGGCACGTGCGCTCGCCAGACAGACAGAGAGAGACAGAGAGACAGAAAGCGAGAAATCACCCCCCCAGGGGGGATGGTCACGCCGCAATCCCTTCTCCTCCATTCTCCTCTCGGGATCTTGGGCACGCACGCATACGCGCCCGGCGTGAGTTTTAAGCCACCGGGTCTGGGACACGAACCACGGTCGACTATGTGGGAGTCCAGCGACAGCCATTACGCTAACTGCTGGTCCCTGTATGTGCTATTTTTAACATCTAGTTGGAATCATACTTTTCTCAAATAGCAACAATCTTCATGGTAGTCTCCTAAACCCAGAAGCACAATGATCATTTTACACATTTTCCTCTCCTCCCCTCAGTTTTTCACTCCCCGTTTTGTTCCCAACTGAGCATTATGAGTTTTACTTCCCTGAGAAAGGAGGATTATCCACAGAAGTTCCACTTGATCGCACTACTGCACTAACAACCCACTTACACCTGCATGCACGTGCCCTGCCTTCCCTCCTTTCCACACCGATGAATTTCTGGCTTCTTTCCCATCCCTTCACTCCTACCGAAGGTCCTTCCAATTGTCCTGTCCCATTCTGCATTATCACATCTTCCCTACCTACTGGACCTTTTGTGTCTATTGGGAAGCATGCTGTGAAATTCTTAATTCTTGAAAAATCCTCTCGTCCCCACATCCCTCTCTTAATCTGTAAGCCCATGTCTTTGCTCCGTTTTCCAGCAAAATTCCTTGAAGAGTTGTCTCCACTTCCTTCCCTTCCACATTGCCTGGAACCTGCTTCTTTCACTCACACGTCCCCATGGAGACACTTCCCCTGGACTCAGAGGCTCCACGTTGCAAGCTCAGCATGATCTAGTCTCATCTCTCATCTTGTCTGTTTAATACACTTCCTCTCTCTCGAAAGTTTTCTTTATACTTGGCCTCCAAAACATCTCTTCTCTGTTGTTATTTTCTTCTTAAATCTTTCTTGACTTTTCTCTTAGTCCTCCCTCATCTGCCTCTATTGACCTGGAGTCCTGGAGTTCTGTAGGATCATTTCAGTTCTCTTCTCTTGTCTCCATGCCCCACTGGCTTCCTAGCTGTACATGTTTTCTCCTTCCTTGAGAATTCCCACGTGTGTCTCTAATTCAGAGCTTTCCTTCAGACTCACATATGCATCTTCCTAGTACATATCTCCACTTACGTATCTAATAGGTATTTGCGGTTTAATATGACCAACAGAACTCCTGATCCCATACTTCTCCCAACTCACTCCTCCCTATTGTCTCCCTATGTTCTCAGGAAATGACTGTTTCATCAGTGAGCACTCCAGCCAAAAGGCCAGAAGTCACCTTCAACTTCTCTCGTGCTTTTTCTTATATCCTTCACACTCCGACTGCCTGTAAATCTGTTGACTCTGATCTTCAAAATCTATCTGTAATCAGCTTTCAGAGTATATAATCCAGCCACTGCCTACCCCCTTTATTGCTATTACCGTAGTTCAGGCCACCATCACCCGATGCCTGGATCCCTGCCGAGGCATCTACCTGGGCTTCCTCGTCAATATAGCATGTCATGTCACTTTCTCTTTTTTAATTTTTTTAATCTCTCGATAAAAAGAAAAGGTCAATCTGTCTTGAATTTCTTTCACAGCGTATCCAAATGTTAATGTCTTGAGAATATTTTGTTATTCATAATCATCATAAAAATAGCTAGTCATGGGACATTTATCAACTCTGGGGGCTTCTTCTAGTGTGAAGATGATTTGGCCGAGAAGAGGAGGAGCAATGAGTTGCTACGCAGGGCCATCGAGACCTACCAGGAGGTGGCCAGCCTGCCTGATGTCCCTGCAGACCTGGTAAAGCTGAGTTTGAAGCGGCGATCAGAAAGACAGCAGTTTCTAGGTAAGATGCAGTAATAATGAACTTAGTAGGAAAAGGTGTTTTTATCCTCAAAAGCCTGAAGGCAGTGTTTAGTCTTAGAAGAGCTAAATTACAAGTGAGAGAATCTGAGTTTTAGAAATAATTCCAAGTAATTTATCCAACTGTGTTCTAGGCAAACCATCTCTAAAATGGAAGTAGCAGTCCCAACCTTAATTACAGAGATGTATATGGTATACACATGAACACACAGATATCCACTTTAAAGACAAGGCAAAGAGGATGCTGACAGCTTGGGTCATTTATGGAAGAAAGCATAACTAATAAATGAATAGGTCTGGAATGAAAAACTCTTCCTTTGGTGCCAAATTCTCTTCTCTCTTAACTATTAAAACCTGATTCATGAAAGTCAAAATTTCCATAGAGCAGTTTTTATCAAGAATGTTAAGAGTGAGGCCAGCAGGTGTGATGATACTTAAGGTACTAGGCTCTCACATAACCACCTGTGGTTTGAGTCCTGGACCTGGTGGCTTGTTTCCTCAGTTTCTCACTTTCTTTCCTTCTCTCTCTCTCTCCCTTGTGCAAGTGCTCTATCGCAAATTAAGAAATAATAATAATGGAGCCAGCAATTGGCATAGTGGTTACATTGCTGGACTCCCACATGGCCAACCACGGTTTGAGTCCCAGACCCAGTAGTTTGAAACTTGATGCTGGGTGCATGTGTGTGCATGCCCAAGATCCCAGGAGGAGATTGGAGAAGGGATTCTGGTGTGGCCACCTCCCCAGGAGGTGATCTCTCACTTTTTCTGTCTCTCTTTCTCTCTCTCTCTCTCTCCAGAAAGCACATATGCCCTAAGGGAAAAACCTCCAAAAATAATAATAATAAGTAAAATTAAATAAATAATTCTTTAAAAAAGAACATTATGAGTTCTGGGCATTAAATATTTTGCCTATAAGAATTATCTTCCTATACCAAGGAAAATACTAGAAAAAAATGTTAATCATAATGGGAACCAGCAGTTAGTGTAATGGCTATGTTGCTGGATTCCCATGTAGTCGACCACAGTTCGCATCCCAGACCTGGTGGCTTAGAACTCACGCCGGGCGCATGTGCGTGCGTGCCCAAGATCCTGAGAGGAGAAGAAGGGATTGCGACATGACCATCCCCCCTGGGGGGTGATTTCTCGCTTTCTGTCTCTCTGTCTCTCTCTGTCTGGTGAGCGCATGTGCCCTATAGCGAAAACCTCTCAAAAAAAATGTTAATCATAATGTAAATTTACAAATACTTTGAAAAGAGCAACACAAAGCATCCTCTCAGCTGACCTAGATTCTCATGCCAAAGGAAGGTAAGACCAACCCTAAGCTCACTCCATTGTAACAAGGCTTGTGGTTGTCTTTCAATCACATGTCAGCAGTAAACCAGTAAAGAAGGGTCTAAGCCACATGTTGCTACTGAAGTGGGTGCTCAGGTGGCCGGGTAGTTACATGGACAGATTGTCAGTGTCCCTCAGGGGAGGCTCCTATAACAGGCAAGACCCAACTGACCCTTTTTATTGGAATGGGATTAAGGGTATCTGTGTCAGTTTTGTAGATGATCAGAATCTGTGATAGGCCAGAATACAAGTGGTGACTAGCAACTGGAAGAAATGGTCGATTAGGCTTACTTTCATAAGGACCAGCCCAAGGGGATGAAAACATGCAGCATAAATGCAGGACAGAGGAGGCAGGGCTGGGTACCCATGGAGTCTGTGGAGACAGAAAATCAGTATTACTGAGCTTTCTTCCCCTTTTCCTCAGCCTCCAGTATGACTCTGCCACTGTTTCTGATCCTTTCTTTAAAAATCTTAATACTTGAACAATAAAATTACAACAGTCTTTCAGTGTTTGACTTTAGTCCTTTCTAATTCCCTTGAGGAGGCTCTTAAGGGACTCCAGGTTGAAGGTTTTAGTGAAAACAACGACTGGTGAGTTTCACTCAGAAGAAAACAGGGTTCCACGATGTGGAGGTGAAGGGACTGGGGAGAGTCTCCAGGAGGGGTTTCGATCTGCACCCTTTGTTGTGGTTCATGGAAGAAATTTAGAAGCAGAAGAAAATTGTGAGCCTACTAGGCAGGTAGGGGAAGGAGAGAGGCAGAAAACTGGAGGCAGAGTTGCGAATGGCTGCTGAGTAAGCCCATCCCAGATTTCTAATTAGAATACAACGGGTCAGTAATGAGGAGTGGCCATCGGATAAAATGGAGATCTTCCTGTTGTTTCCTCTTTATGAGAGAGATAAATATTTTGGGACTAGGTCTCAGCCTCCCTAACACTGAAATTACCTGTGCAGCGCTGCAGCTGGGCCAAGTTCGTGATGTTTTAAGCCAGATGGTTACAGTGAAGTCTACAACTTCATGAGGTTATTAGTAATCTTACCACCCTCATGAGTTGGTAGGCAACTAACCCGTTTAGATAATTAGGGTTTGTTTTTTTTTAATGTGTATGCTAGTCTTATTTTGCTTATTTTCCTTTACACATTTTATCTTCCCAACTGTACAAAAAAAATAATGACAACTGAGCCCAGAACTTTTAAATTTCCATGGGACATCCTTAAACATAATTAAAGCTAGGGTTTTCATGATTCACATACTGCATAGTATCGTGCTGTCCACCAGAGGGTTCCATAACACTGAGTAATGCAGCCTTTGCTCCATTCTGAGGTTTTTATCTAGGGATGAAGACACTTTTCATTGGAGAAGGTGTCAGCAGTTAAAGACTGGCCTGCGCACCTTAGCTCCTGTTCAGTACTAGACACTGAAGCGAGTTGGGTTTTTTATTGTCTACCCTTTATAATTTTTAAGCTAATAAACAACAAAAAAACTCATTAAAACACCTTATTACGAGGCATTCATAACTTAAACTTTAAGAGGGAATTTAATGTAAAAAGGCAACTGTTAAAGAATTTAAAACTGAGCATGTCTTTAGAATGTTTGTATTCTATATAATGTTTTGGGTTGTATTTTTAGCATTTAGTGATGCCATTGTACCTGCATCATGCAATCTCACTGGGTACATAATAAGCCACTAATACATGTACTCAAGGGACCAGCAGTTGGCATAATGGCTATGTTGCTGGACTCCCATGTAGTCGATCGCAGTTCCAAGTCCTGGACCCAGTGGCTAAAGCTCACACCAGGTGCATGTGCATGCGTGCCCAAGATCACAAGAGGAGAATGGAGAAGGGATTGCAGTGTGGACCACCCTCCTGGGGGGTGATTTCTTGCTTTCTGTCTCTCTGTCTTTCTGGTGAGAGCACACGCCCTATAGCAAAAACCTCTCTTAAAAAAAAAAATACACGTACTCCAATTTACGCTGGTTTTCAGGTTCTGTTGCATCGTCTTTCATGATTTGTGTTCTCAGTACAAAGGTTACATATTCTGTTTTTATTTCTATTGGGTTTGTATTTCTTCCTACCAAATCAGGTCACATGAGAGGTTCCCTGCTTACCCTACAGAAATTAGTGCAACTATTTCCCAGTGACACTTCCTTAAAGAATGACCTTGGAGTGGGCTACCTCTTGATAGGAGATAATGACAACGCCAAGAAGGTTTATGAAGAGGTAAGCACCAACCTTCTGTTAATAACTACACCAAACTATTTTTTTACAAGAATTATTTATTTATCTAACTCCATTTCATATTATTATTTTTTAATTTGACCAGAGAAAGAGCAAGAGAAAGCGAGAAAGCAAGCCGCCAGGTTTGGGACTCAAACCATGGCTGGCCATGTGCAAATCCAGTACCTTTAACCACTACGTCACCTGCTGGCCCCTACACCAAACTGTTTTGAATGTTAACTTTTAATGGTATTTGTAAATTACATCGAATATACTCAGTCTATCGCTCTGCATATTTTAAATTAATTTAATAGCATGTCAGTATCATTATAGTTGACCTATTCTTGTTTTCTCGTTGCTTTTAAATGAGAAGATTTTAAATTTTAGTTAACATTTGCTACATTAAAATCTTTAACTTGTAATTGTGATTATTTTTTAAAGAATTTATTGATTTATTTACTTACTTTTTAATTCAACAGGTAGAGATAGAAGAAAAGTGAAAAAGCAACCCACCAGCCCCGGGACTTAAACTAAAGTCAACCATGTGGGAGTCTAGCAACTTAACCACCATGTTACTTGCTGGCATTAATTGTGTTTTGTTTTGTTTTAAGAGATTTTTGCTATAGGACACATGTGCTCACCAGAGAGACAGAGAGAGACAGAAAGCAAGAAATCACCACCCGCCCCAGAGGGATAACTACACTGTAGTCCCTTCTCCTCCATTCTCCTGGGATTCTGGACACATTCATACTCACGCGCCACCATGAGTTTCAATCCACTGGGTCTGGGACTTGAACTGTGGTCAGCCATGTGGACATGGGAGTCCAGTACCTTAACCACTATGCCACCTGCTCACCCCAAATTGTGATATTTTTAAAACTTCATATTTATCTTTCTATAAATACTCTCTTGAAAGTGTCCTTTACTATTGGGAAAAAAAAAACTCAAGTTCCTATAATGCAACAAAAAACATAATCTTTTCCATTTATCCACTAGAAGTCCTATCTAGACATAGACTTCGGGCATATGGAGTAAAATACTCATTTTTCAGGAAGGCTTTTTACTCTTCAATCCTCTGGCAAGGATGCCTTTCAAAGGATTCTACCTTATCATAAACGTCTTAATAGATAACCTCTAAATCACAAGAAACTCTAGAATCTAGAAAATTGTGATTTCTTTAGATAATGAGAGTATTGGTTTGACACAGAGTATATAAGATACCAAATGACCATTGAAGATGAAGAAATTTAATGTCTCTAGGAAAGAAAGAAGGATAAGGGGCCAGCTACAGTGGTACAGCAACACACCTGGACCTACATGGAAAGGTCACAGGTTCGAGTCCCACCCCAGGGCCTCCCTGTATACTCAGGGTACACATGTGCCCATGATCCAGGCTGTCTGAGAGTAGAGAGGGGCATGAAGACCCTGTTTGGGGTGCTAAGTTTTGTCTTTCTCTCTCTCATGGAAAAAATAAATTAAACTTCTAAAAAAAAAGAAGGTGAACACATTTACTTCATTTACTTGTTATTCTTTGATCTGGGTCTTTTGCTCAATCATTTTCAAGCTGATAGCCTATGTCCAAATGCTGTCACTCAGTGATAGCCAACGGGATTCCTTTCATGTTTAAAATGTGGTCAAGTAGAGCAGTTATATACTTAGTCCAGGGACCAGTCCACCCACTAAGTGCTGCTTCTCTCTGTTAATTGCTGTTGATGCTTAATTGGAAAACATTCAATTTTGGGGCAGTTGCCTTTTTAACTCTTGTCATAACTTATATACTTTCTGAGAGAGCAGAAATATGACCTTGACTTATTATAGCATCGCTAATATCTACAGCGAGTGGATTGAGCCCACCGTGTTAAAAATACGAGCCATGAACCAAAGACCCAGGAAATAAAGTAATTCGTGTGATTCATCGTATTTGTCAGGGGCCAAAACCTTTCTCTCAGAGCCTTACCTTGCACCACCTGGTTCAGGGGAGCATCACGTGGCTCAGTGATCCAGGACCTCGTGAATGTACAGACTGACAACTCGAGCAGCCCTGGCCATTATCCTGTCACTGTCAGAGACCACAAATATGAAACATTCACTTCCTCCTCGTCCTTTCCTTCCTTACTTGTAAAA